ATGACTCTATACACAGGGCCAATCTCGTTTTGGCAGCATACGTGAGGTTTCCTGGTTGGCTGGCCGTCTTTCTAACTTATCCTCCAACTCTTCTGTCCACCCTGATCAGACCAATGCCCAGCAAGGGCCCAGTGTCTGGCTCCCACCCGGCTCCCATGGCCAGGTTCTGCCGCACCCCGGCTCAGCAGGGTTGGCTCTGAGTGCATTTTTTCAAAAAAAAAATTTCAGCTCCAAAAGACAATAATCTGTTGGCATGGATGCTCTATTTTAGGACTTCTGCTGTTTATGAGGTGAGTTCCCAAAGGGTCAGGCACACTTGGTGAGAGTACTGCGGTGAGGGGACACTCCCCAGCACGCCGAGCACCCCACGTTTCCTGAAGAGCGAGTCTCGGCTCCCCGCACGTCACAGCACGAAATCTAATCACTCCTAGCTCAGTCTGTGGCCCAGGCTCTTTTCCACTAGAATATAAATAATCTTATATACTCTCATGTCAGGTTGAATGAATGTGTTAAAAGAAATAGCAATATAACCGAAGTGTGAAAATTACTTGTTCATTTCCATTGAGAAGTGAACCACAGTGACTTATTTTCAAATAATGAATTAGCCTTGGAAAACAGCTACTATTGCCTACAGAGGATTATGTTAATCTACTTTTCTTTGTGACTAAGAGGAGGAAAGACAGAATATTACAAAACAGGTTTACAGGTTTCTTCCATCCTAAGCCTTAAATGAAGCAGTTCAAACTCTGCAAAGGCTGTGAAGGGATGTTAGCTCCTCCTGGTGAGCCATGAATGCACCATGGCATTCCAAAGAACCTCTGCAAGGTGCAAGGGGAAGGGCTTTAAACGCTTTCTTCCTTTCTCAGGAAAATAAACCCCAGCAGGGAGGACATTACCTTGGTGGCAGAGTCCACGGCAGACCCTCTTCCCAGCAGCTCCTGGACCAGGCCCACATGGCCTTCCTTGGCAGCCAGGTGGAGAGCGTTGAGTCCATTCTAAGAGAAGAAGTACACGACTCAGAGGGAGCAGAGCTCAGAGGGGGGACACGGCTTAGGGGGGGACACAGCTTAGGAGGGGACATGGCTCAAAGGGGGGACACTGGCTCAGAGGGGGCACCGGCTCAGAGGGAACACGGCTCAGAGGGGACATGGCTCAGAGGGGACACGGCTCAAAGGGGGGACCCTGGCTCAGAGGGGGACACGGCTCAGAGGGGGACACAGCTCAGAGGGGGACACGGCTCAGGTGGGGCACCAGCTCAGAGGGAACACGGCCGGCCCTGGCCTGCGAGCACAGAACCCAGCGGGCGTGCAGATGCCACCTCGCAGGCTCCTCTTCCCCCTTTATTGGTCTGATGACATTAGCTTGACTCTATTAGGTCACTGAGAAAGTCATAACATATCTTTCTGGTTTTCTATGCAAAAATGAATCATGACTTTCCCAATGGCCCAATATTAAGTTTAAAGAGACTAATTTCTAGTGTTTTTGATTCAGAGACACAAAACCACAAATATTTACTGGAGACATCAATTTGGCAACTTTATTTCAATAATTTTTTTTAACTAAGAAAATATCTAATACTAAAAGAAATTCTGTATCACTTATTTTGCTGGTCAAAAATAAAATTTTGTCTGTTTTTAGGAATAGAGAGACCTTTAAATAAAACTTACTTTTCTCTCTCTCTTTTAAATTTTTCTATAGGGTGTGTGCTTGCCAGAGACAGAGAGAGAGAGGGAAGTGGGAGAGCATCCCAGGGGGCGGCCACACTGCAGTCCCTCCTCCTTTCTCCTCTCATGGTTCTGGGCACACACACATGCACGCCTGCCATGGCTCTCAAGTTGCCGGCTCCAGGACTCGAACTGTGCAACCCACCCTGTATTTTGCTATGGAAGGACCTGTGTCCTGGGACACCAGCTGCGCCAAAGGCAATGACTGCTCTGCTCTGCACCTGACCCGGATGTCAGCCTGTGTCCTGCCCCTTCCCATCCCACCAGACACCATGGGAACAGCAGCAGAGCGGAAGCGCACTCTGGTCCCCGCACTCACTGGCAAGGGTCAGAAATCTTGTCCCCAGTGTTGTTAAAGGGTAATATGCAATTGATTGCGCTTTTTCTGGTTTTGTTTCCTCCTTCTTTTCTTTTTGTTTCAGGAAGGGGAGGTCCTACTGCAGGAATAATAACAGGTCTCTGTCCTCGCTACAAACCCGCTGTGCAGCTCTGGGCAAACCCCTCATACCCGTGCTCCATAGCCTCAACTGTGAGCAGTGAGGACGACACAGTGAGAGATGGAGAGGACACAGACACGAACTCCTCAGGATCAGCCATGGCCAATTGTCACTTTAGCTGCTTTATATGTTCTTTTAACAACTCTCAAAAAAAAAGTCTATTGGAAATGATCTCTAAAAATTACCAGTCTTTAAGAAATGCATTTATAGCTGTAAGGCTTTAAAACTGGACGGGATCTTAGATATCTGGCAGTCTGATATGAGGGGAAGCTTCAAAAGTTCAGGAAAGATGGAAAATGTGCAGAAAGCTATGCACGGGTTTCACAGAACAAATCAGTACTTAATCCTAGAACTGCATTACTTTTTGTCTAGCACTCTGTCGAATGTTTATAAAGAATATCACATTTTGTTCAGAGTCGGCTTTACAATAACCTCCATTCAGTGTTTCTCTTGCTGATTTCAGGAGTCATTCTGTCCATCGACTTCTCTCTGATGGATGAACATCAGCCCCGTCTCTCAGAGCCGCCCTAGCCTCTGTCTCTGAGGGAGCCCCGGGGCAGTCCACTTGGAAAAGTTCGAGACGATGCAGCTGAACTTCCGTGACTGTGAGCACTGTGCTCATGAGAAGTGGCTGGGCAGGGAGCACTCCTGCAGCGGTCCCAGCTGGACCCCGTGGGCACAGCACAGGGCAGGGCAGAATCCCGCATGCGCTCCCCGCTGTCACTGCAGGGTGCAGTTTCTCCACAAAGAGGACAGGACGGCCCGTTCTGCCTGCTTCAAATCCTTATTCAAAAGAGAGCATAAAATAAGTGTTGGTGCTGTTTGAAGTACGTAAAGTGACTCCAGTGGAAGGCATTACTATTCCCTGGCTCATGCCGAAAATGATAAATATCTTCCTCTGCCCTTCCATTCTATTTTCTTTTCTTACATTAAAAAAAAAAAAAAAAAGTTGCCAGAGGGCACCTGCACTCTCCAGAGAGAGACACAGAGACACAGATAGGGAGTGGGGAGAGAAAGCACCCCAGGGGCGGCCATGCTACTGCCCAGCTCCTCCAGCTCTGATCCTGACGGGGTGTGGGGCATGTACGTGCACACACTGCGCTTCATAAGCTGCAAGGCCGGGACTTGAACCACAGGGATGGCCCAGCCACCTGGACAGGCCGGTCCTCCACTATTCCCAGCTCTGAAACTGGGTTAAATATGCTGAGCTGAGCTGAGCATTTTTCAGATCAAGATGTGATGGTTACCTGAGCTAGCAAAAACATAATTTATGAAGAAATTATTTACTTAATAAGTATTTTGAATTCCAATGAAACTTAGGAAGCAGGAAGGAGAGGAAGCTGTTGCTTAGAAGGACCTGGTCAGTGATGATGATGGGGCGCTGCTCCCTGGAAGGACCTGGTCGGTGATGGTGATGGGCGTTGCTCCCTGGAAGGACCTGGTTGGTGATGATGATGGGGCGCTACTCCCTGGAAGGACCCTGTCCATGATGCGGCGCTGCTCCCTGGAAGGACCTGGTCGGTGATGGGGCGCTGCTCCCTGGAAGTTCTAAGTCCCCTAACTCACTTGCCACTATTTCCTGGCCTCATTTCCTGATTAAATTAATTTTTATGGGAAACTATAGATACATTCATTTTTAATAGGTGACTTAACATGTGTCAGAGCAGAACATTTACATGAAGCTAAAAGAAAAATTATTCGAGGTACTTCTCATAATAGCCACGGTTTAAAAGGAATTAAGCATTAAATTTAAAATTGAGCAGTAAATTATTTAAATGATGGCCACAACTAGCTAGAGCTTGCTGCGTGCCCCGCTGTGCGGAGCTGACTGCACTGACTCCCTCGGAGCTGGGCACAGGGCGCACACAGCTGCCTGCTGGCTCCGGCCAGACGCTGCAGCCCTAACCCTCTCGCTGGTCCAGCCGTGAAACGAACCTGCAGACTCTGCTCTGGCCTGCTTCACTCTCTACAGACCTCACATCCCCCATCTTTATTAACTCCTTAATTTATTGCTTCCAGGAGAGCAAGAGAAAGGGAGAGCACGTCCACAACACCATGGCAATCAGCCTGCATTGCCGGCGCCACATCCAGCCCCCGGGACAGGACCCAGACGCTCCAGTGGGACCCAGCATCCCGGGGCGGCTGCGTCGTCACGACACCATCTGCCCCTAAATCTAAACCAGTCACAGGTTCTATGTGCTGTTCTGTGGAATGCAAAATTTCTCTTTCTGAAAATTATTTCTTTTAGGCTTCTGGACTTGCAATGCCCAGATGTGTCAAAATTAGAAAGAAACATTAAAGTAAGGTCTAGGGTTAAGGCAGCCTATGTGTGCTGGCTACACCCTCTTGGGCTTCCCAGCTGCCAAGTCCGGGGCCAAACAAACTCCTGCGGTAGAGCTCGGCGTCTGGCGTATGGCGTGCTGCTGCCAAGCATGTGACTCTGGAGGCCACACGGAGGCCAGCTAGGGGAGACCCAACGAGTGCATGCGCGACAAGGTGGGCGGGTTCCCCAGGGTCCTAGACAAGCACCCAAGCAAGGAGTGCAGCCGTCGGCCTGTTTCTTCTTCTTCTTCTTAACCTCTCTTTCCTTGCTTACAGTCATTCCCTGTACATCAACACCATATACGCGATTTTCCACCCAGAATACACTGTATATCAGCTCGATCGAGGATATTACCATACGTGTTATCTTCAACAAATAATTTCCTGTTTTTTCTCATTTTATTTTCTCATTTTATTTTCCCCTCTTAATTCCCTACCTTTTACCCTCTGCCAATTCCTCCCTTCCCCCACTGTCTTTGGTATGAACAGTTGTTTTCCACGCCTTTTTTAAACATTTTATCAATTCACTAAAGATCTTAATTCATTTTAAAACAGTAGCAAAAGCAGCTGATATATACATATGTATAAACACATGTCTGACTGTAGGCGTAACCTCAGTGAGTACAGTGATATGTACATATGTATAAACACATGTCTGACTGTAGGCATAACCTCAGTGAGTAGAGTGACATGTACATATGTATAAACACATGTCTGACTGTAGGCATAACCTCAGTGAGTACAGTGATATGTACATATGTATAAAGAAGGACCCTGTCCATGATGCGGCGCTGCTCCCTGGAAGGACCTGGTCGGTGATGGGGCGCTGCTCCCTGGAAGTTCTAAGTCCCCTAACTCACTTGCCACTATTTCCTGGCCTCATTTCCTGATTAAATTAATTTTTATGGGAAACTATAGATACATTCATTTTTAATAGGTGACTTAACATGTGTCAGAGCAGAACATTTACATGAAGCTAAAAGAAAAATTATTCGAGGTACTTCTCATAATAGCCACGGTTTAAAAGGAATTAAGCATTAAATTTAAAATTGAGCAGTAAATTATTTAAATGATGGCCACAACTAGCTAGAGCTTGCTGCGTGCCCCGCTGTGCGGAGCTGACTGCACTGACTCCCTCGGAGCTGGGCACAGGGCGCACACAGCTGCCTGCTGGCTCCGGCCAGACGCTGCAGCCCTAACCCTCTCGCTGGTCCAGCCGTGAAACGAACCTGCAGACTCTGCTCTGGCCTGCTTCACTCTCTACAGACCTCACATCCCCCATCTTTATTAACTCCTTAATTTATTGCTTCCAGGAGAGCAAGAGAAAGGGAGAGCACGTCCACAACACCATGGCAATCAGCCTGCATTGCCGGCGCCACATCCAGCCCCCGGGACAGGACCCAGACGCTCCAGTGGGACCCAGCATCCCGGGGCGGCTGCGTCGTCACGACA